GTTGTGGAGCATGGGCTCTAAGTGTGCAGGCTTCAGTACTTGTGGCATGCGGGCTCAGTAGTTGTGGCTCAAGGGCTCTAGAGCACAGGCTCAGTAGTTGTGGCACGTGGGCTTAGTTGCTCCGCGGCATGTGGGATCTTCCCGGACCAGGGCTTGAACCCGTGTCCCCTGCACTGGCAGGCAGATTCTTAACCACTGCGCCACCAGGGAAGCCCTCCCATATACTTTTAAGCCAAGTGATTCCTTCCTGTTCCATCCTGGATTATCTTTGGATGGAGCCTCTGCAGGGCAAGACCCTTCTCACTGCCCAGGTGGCCTCCTCCTAATTTATGCTTGTGGTTTTATGATGAAAGAGTTTCTCTTTCTGGCTCTGCCTTGAGCTGTACTCCCAAATGTCCCCATTGCAATATGCCAAAACCCAGGAAGGGGTGGTGGTGGAAAATTTTCAGATCCCAGAAAAATAGAGGGGGTTCGGAAAGTGGGGACAGAAACCCTGATCCCACCATGTAAACGTACCAAACTATGTAGTGGGTCCTTTCTATATTTTGACTCATTTTTTTCTCATGCCAGTCTCTGGAGGGAGGAATTATCTCATTCTCACCCATTTTATAACTGAGGAAATGGGGCAGAGTGGTTGTGTATCTCACCCATTGTAACTCAACCCAGAAGGGCACAAGCTAATCTAGAACTCAAATGTGTCTTCCCCAAAGTTTTTCTGGCTACTCTCTTCTTTCACCCCGCTTCCTCTGCAGCTGTGAGTGGCTGTGACTACTGGTCCAGTGGGCATCTTCTCTGAGAAGTTAAGGGGGGGAGTCTTGGTGAAAGGGTGGGAGGTGAGATTTGAGGAGGGAGGGGAAACAGAGCAAACTGTAGAACCAGACACCATTCTCCTTTCCCTACTGCCACCAGCGTCGCAAGAGACCATGCGTGTGTTTTGGATGGGTGAATTGGGGGCGGGTTCCACTGGCCAGTGTGTAGCAGTGGGGTCAGTTGGGCTCCACCAGCAAACTTTCTAGTACATCATGCATCATTCCCTTTACTACTTTCTCTAAAGTGCTCTTTATTATTCAGCTGAATATTTCTCTTCAGAGGATGTTTTTACAGTTCAATCAAAGCAGCTTTTCTTTTCCCAAAAGCTTTGCTTGTGTGGCCCTACAGGGACATCTGCTCATGGCTGTTTCGAACCTTTTTCTCTGCACAGCTGCACAATTGCCAACTTTCCCCAGGTTGTCTGAAGCCAAGTGAGGCCTAGAGAAGGATCAAAACAGTCTGTCTTCTTGAAACATTTTTAAAAGATGATTTATTTTTCCCTAGTGGTATCCAGAACTTTGAGAATCCAGATTGTGAATCCAACTTGAAAACATAGTTTTCTTTTTATTGTAGAAGGAAAAAGCAAAACCAAACAGATTCTTTGTCCATGGCCATTTCTACTTTTAGTTTTAATTAAAAATACTGGTATTCTTGCCAGCTGTGTGACTCTGGGCAAATTAGCACTCTGGACCTTTCCGTTTTCTCATCTGTAAAATAGGAAATGGAATAATTCCCATTTCCCTACATTGTTGTGAGGATTAAAGGAGATAATAACTCATACACAATTGAAAAGTTAACATCAATAATGGGATCTGCAGTTGGTTGAATCTGGGGATGTGGAACCCATGATTATGGAGGACCAACTGTGTTATCTGGGTTTTTCACAGTGCTTATCTATGCATGTATTACACGTATGTGTGTGTGTTAAATAGTAATAAAGATCATATTAAAATATATCTAATAAAGACAAAAATTTAGACTCTCACGTCAAAAGGATCATCAGCTAAAGGTGTCTTAGGGGGAGACAAAGATCATCTGTTTTATAGAAAAGAGGCTCAGTCCCACTGGGCATATCCTGTGGCATCATATAGGATGCCTCTCAGAGTTGTCCCTTTGAAGGATGGAGGCTGGGCATTTACCCACTGACTTTTGTCACCTATGTGTTGAGGGTTGTCCCCAAAGGTGTTAATTTCCTCTGTGCCTCCCTGAGAGTGGGCAAGAAAGCAGGGAATGGTTCCGGGGCTTGAGGTGGGAAGCTGGCAGTGTACAGAGGGATTGTCCACTGTAGGGACAACTGGAATCAGTCGGGGGCCCAGGGGAACATAACAGAGGGTACAAAAAGCATACTCTATAGAGAGGGGGCCCCTGGAACCCCAAACAGAAATTGGAGGAGCCCTTCTGAGGTTTTATCTGAAGGAAAAGAAATCTTGAAGAGATATCTGCACTCCCATGTTCATTGCAGCATTATGCACAATAGCCAAGACATGGAAATAACCTACATGTCCTTCGATGGATGAATGGACACAGAAAAATGCATACATGTATACAATGCAATATTACTCAGCCATAGAAAAGAAGGAAATCCTGCCATTTGCAACAACATGGATAAACCTGGAGGACATTATGCTAACTGAAATAACCCAGACAGAGAAAGACAAATACTGTATAGTATCACTTGTATGTAGAATCTAAAAAAAAAAAAAAAAAAACTTTCAGCTATAAAATGAATAAGATCTGAGGATCTAATGTACAGCATGGTGACTAGCTAGTATTGTATACTTGAAATTTGCAAAGAGAGTATATCTTAAACATTCTCACTACACACACAAAAAGTTCTATGTGAGGTGGTGGATGAGTTAACTAACTTGATTGTGGTAATCATTTCACAATCTATACATAAATCATCATGTTTAATAATTTAAATATACACAATTTTATTTGTCAATTATACCTCAGTAAAGCTGGGGAAAAAATGAAAAAAAAAAGGGAAGAAAAAGAAAGAATTCTTAGGGCTCCTAGGCAGGGTAAAAAGCCAGTCTAATCTTAGATTTCTCCACAGCATCATTTGATGTTAGAAAACTGTGGAGCAGAACCTACAAGCTATTCCAAGAAAGAAACTGTGAGCAGTATTGTATATCTTGCCAAACTTTCTTTCAGGCATGAATGCTATAGAAAAATAGTTTTGAACATGCAAGAACCCAGAGGCTATTATACCCATGAGTACTTCTTGAGAAAATTATGGAGTTTTAACTTCAGTCAACCAAGAAATAATGGAAAACTAGGGCAAAAGGGGACAGGCGTATGCAAAGAATATGTTTAACTGAAGAACTAAGACCGAACAAGTGTAAGTATTGGAGTAATAGAGTAGAAGGGACATGTTTTATATCCTAACAATATAGAAATGACACAAATAGAAAACTTCGGAAGGTGAATGAGAGAAAAGCGGGAGAAAGAATAAACACGCTGTTTGTGAATAATAGCTGGGGACCAAAGAATATCATTTAAAGCTGACAAAATATAGTAGAAACGTAAGCATTTTAAATTGTACAACGGCAAACATTACAAAAGATAATACTGGTGATTACAACTGAATAGCAAAAGAATGGTAGGGAATGGGGGGAAAGGAATTAATCGTATGGTTATTCTTACTAGGGTTTAAGAGCTACTGTTTAAAGAACTAGACATTTAAGGGCATATAATCATAAAGGTAATCAGTAGGATCCAGATCAAAATTTCCTAAATGTTATAAGAAATATACACCCCCAAACCAAGTAAACATAACTGAAAACATAGTGGAAGACTTCAAAAATTATAAATACAAAAAATATACCATAAGATATTATGACAGAACAAAGACTAAACGTGTATGGAATCTCAAGTGATGGAAATGGGCTAAATCCACCCAGTGAAAGAAGAACAGAGAGCTGGGCCAGGTCAGGACTGGAACCAGAAGCTTCAGGAAGCTGGGCAGGTGCTCCCTCCTGTTTGGGTTTCTGGTTTGCAGCTGTTTCTTCTCTCTCCCTGCAGACTGGCTCTCAATAGCATATGGCCGCTGCTGTCATCGTTAGCTGGGCAGCCACGTGCCCCTGATCTCAAGTTCACGAGCAGAGCAAGCCAACCTTGCTGACTCGTCACAAGCCTTTGTCCCCAGGGCAAGGTTGGGGCTGAGGAGCGATTTGGCCCAGTGTAGATCAGGGTCCAGGATGGCCCCATCAGCTTTGGTCAGGGGTCAGGGTGCCTGGACGGATGTAGCTGCTGGGGTGTTGTAGGGGATGGAGATGGCGCCTCAGGTTCACAGTTAGGGGGGCTCCAAAATACAGTGGCTTAAACAGCTCTTGCCAGTTCTGCTCCCATGGGGTCACACAAGCTCCCAAGTTCCTTCCTTCTGGTGGCTCCACAGTGCCCAAGCAGCAGAATCACCCGGAGAACTTGTTAAAACACAGGTTGCTGCGCCCCTGTTTCTGATCTAGTGGTTCCGGGGTAGGATCTGCGAATTTGCATTTCCCACAAGTTTCCGGGTGATGCTTATGCTGCTGGTGCAGAGATCACATGCTGAAAACTCACTGCCCCAGGGTGTGTCCTTGCCGAGACGTGTGGAGCTGCCACTGCCACACCTATGTGCCCAGAGAGGGGAAAGCTGCCACTGCCACACCTATGTGCCCAGAGAGGGGAAAGCACCTATGGCTGATTTGGGCCATAGGCAAGGACTTAGTCCCAGGGTCACACTTGGCTGCTAGGGAGGCCGGGCAAGGTCATCTGTAGCTGGGCGGCCGTGTGCCCCGGAAAAGGGAAGAGCGTGTTTGTGGGAGACGACTGCAGGTCCGCAGAGTGGGATCACGTGGAGACGAAACGACAGGGGCCCGCACTTAGTGGTGGGGGAAGATGGGGAAAGGCTCTCAGTGCGTTTGCTGACTAGAGTCATCATGGCGGTTTACTCAGGGAGGAGAAGCCTAATCTGCCTGCAGGCATCGGCCAGGGCTGTCCTGGAGACAGAGCAGGCTGAGCTTTGAGGCAGGAGCGCAGCTGGCTCCCGTGCCTCTCGAGGACAGCTAGGCGTTACTCCACCTGGCTCTGCTCTTTCCCCTCTTCGTTCACCCAAGATGTTCCTTCATCCACCGTCCTGTTGTCTTGTGGGTTAGGGCTGATGTTTTCGCAGGTCTCAAGCTTTCTTTTTCTACCCCATCCCCCAGGCATCTTGGCTCTGGAGAAAGCTGCGTGGCAAGAGGCGGTTGGTGACGGCATTCTGCCTCTTAATGGCTCTGTCTGTGGTGGCTGTCACCCGCTTCCCTCCACAGCACCCAGCTGCCAGCCCAGACCCTGGTCCCGTGGAGCCCCAGCAGGTAACTGGTGCCCCTGTCCCCCAGAGCAGGCAGGCTCTGAGCTCCGGCTGGAGGCAGCGGGCAAGAAACCTGAGGTTCCGGAGAGGCTGGGCCTTGCCTGGGAGCTCCGTCCTGGCGTGTGCTGAGGAGCAAGGCCACGGAGGGAGCGTGGACAGCAGCAGGCAGTCCCCAGACATGGACAGCAGACGTCCAGGGAGGGTCAAGAGGGGCATTACTTTGGCACCTCCAGGAGATCTGAGACTCAGTACCCGGCATCTGGTGCTCCTGAGGGCGGATGAGGTCAGGGGTCCAGGAACCAAAGACCTGGACCTCCCCTGGCACAGTGGTCCCCTCTGGGAGGCACAGAGTGAGACGGGCACCCCAGATGGCCCCCTCGCAGGGCACAACATGGCAGCATTACAGACTTGGAGAGCTACTGCTGGACCGACCCTCCGGCCTCATCCAGCAGAAGGCGGGGATCTGCCAGGACTGAGGAACAGAGCCTTGACTGGTGGACAACAAGCAGGGGGTCCCTCCCCGGCCACGGGGGCTCGTCAGTGGCCTGGCTCTGTTGGGGAGCTGCAAGGATCTGTGTGGTGTGACGCTGAGACCCCCAGGCTGTCGAGTGGCTTGAGGACCAGCGAACAGGTGCCCCCGTGGCTCACAGAGCAGGATGTGCAGACCCTCCAGCTGCTGGCGCAGGGGCAGGTGGTGGGCAAAGCCAGGGTCCCTGGCCACGGGCAGGTGCTGCAGGTTGGCTTCTCCGCCAAGGGTGCCCTTCAGGACCTGTCTCCGGGGCTCAGCCACCTCTGCTCCCAGGGGCTCTGTGGCCTGATCAAGAGGCCTGGGGACCTGTCTGAGGTCCTGTCCTTCCATGTGGACCGCGTGCTGGGGCTGCGCCGGAGCCTACCTGCCGTGGCCAGGCGCTTCCACAGCCCCCTGCTGCCCTACCGCTACACGGACGGTGGCGCAAGGCCCGTCATCTGGTGGGCACCCGACGTGCAGCACCTGGGTGATCCAGATGACGACCAGAACTCGCTGGCCTTGGGCTGGCTGCAGTACCAGGCCCTGCTGGCACGTGACTGCAGCCAGCCGGGCCAGGCCGCATGCCTGGGCATCCACCGCACCGAGTGGGCACGCCTGGCACTCTTCGACTTCCTGCTGCAGGTAAGTGGGTCCAGGCGGGGTGGGGGTGGGGAGCAGTGGAGGTAGGGGATTTGAGGTGAATTGAGACGCCGGAACTGTCCACCTGAGGATGGACGGTGACTTTCCCCCTAGTCCTTGTCTTTTGATCACCAAGCACCCGTTTTTGTTATTTTTCTGCCTCTGAGTTCATTCATCCATTGGTGTGCTGGAACGAGCTCATGTAGGCTCATAAGAATTTCAGGAATTTTATGACCTGGCTGTGAAACACAGGCATTATTAAAATTTAAATTATATAAACTCACAATATAATAAGTTATATTAGAAACAAAGGTAATAATACTCTGAACTCATCACTTCATAATTATTTTACATTGTACTATTATCTGAGCTCTTGAGGGTTTTTGCATCTACCTAGTAAATACTACATAATGATGAGTTACTGCATATCTCTTGCTAGCTCCACATTCATCCATGTTGGTAGCTTGAAACTGGCCAGCGTAGGAGTATTTACATCAAGGGAATCAGCAAATGCTACAAATCAGGACTCCTCCCTATTCCCTGAGAGCTGGTTGTTAAACATTTATCAGCATGCTACTGTTGGTAATGTTTTATCCTTGAATCAAGAAGGATTCAAGATGGCTGCATAATTCGGAAAAGAAAGACGAGGTGGAGGAGAGACAGAATGGGAGAGGGGAGAGATAAAGGGATGATAATGGTCCAGCTTGGGCCCTGAAGAATGAGAAGGAAGCCACAGGGCCAGCTGAGGTCCCTGCTGGGCCAGGAGTTAACCCTGGAGTTTTCGGGGGTCCTGGAGAAGGGGTTGGCGGTCAGGGCCCAGGGGTTAACAGGGGGACTGCAGGCATCAGCTATTTACTAAGTGACCTGTGAACAGCCAGTGTGGCTGTTCCGGGACCTGTGAGCTGGATGTCAGCCGTGGAGACACGAGTGGGGAAATGTGGCCAGAAAGAAAGACAAAAAACGGTTAGAGCGCAAAGCAGGTGGATACGTGTGCTAAATGCACACCAAGCCAGCCCCCATTTCTGTAGGGACCCCTGTTGAGGAAAGAGATCAATGCTAGCCCTAAATTTACCTACTGGGGTGAGTGGACACACCACAGAACGAGTTCAGTGCCGTAACCGGGTAGCCAGGGACTGATGTGCCCTCTTTGGTCCATATAAGGTTGGTTCAAAATGTGTTTTAGAAAATTCTCAGACCACATTTAATACTTTGGAGATTTCTCATGAAAATCCCACTTCCTTTGAAACATTGGATGGTTTAGTAACATGGGGCCTTCATTCCCACGTGGCAGGAATCGTCCTGAGCTGAGTAGCTGCTGCCCCCTTTAAAGGCTGCCATACTCTCCTTTTGGCCGAAGACCATACCTCTTAATTGTCTAACACCCACCCCCAAACCCTTGGATGTTACCTGTCTGCCTGTGGATGTTTGTCTCCAGTCACTGGACTAGCTGGGCTCCCACGATACTCGCAGCTCCTCTAGCCCTTGTCTCGTGGCTGCCCTTGTGGAGGGAGGAGTGTGGGCCCTGGTGGTTGGCATGGGCTTTGGCATCAGACAGACCTGGGTTTGAACCCCCTGCCCACAGGCCCCTTGCCACTGTGTGACGCTGAGCAGATTAGTTTGCGTCTCTGAGCTTCACTTCTCTCACCTCTAAGTGGGACTGGGTGTCCCAACCTTACGCCCTTGGGCACATGGTAGCTCTGAATCGCCAGCGCCTGCATCTTCGGGCTCTGGGCCCTGAGCCTGTTCTGCCCAGGGTGTGACAGGCTGAGGGCTGGGAATTAATGCCCTCCAGACAGTGTGGCCTGCCATCTAGCCTGGGATGCAGGGGTTTCCCAGACCACAGACTTACAGTCCTGGTTAAACTGGGAGAGCTGGTCATGCTCCCTCCAGGAGCTGCCCTCCTGTGACTGATGGGAGCTGGTGTGTAAAAGCCCCGGCTCCCTGACTGGGGTAGCTCTGTGGTGCGTATTCCATGTGTCTCTCAGTTCCCTACCAGGACCGAGCCCTAGTTACCCACAGTGGTCATTGCTGGCCCTCCCTGTCTCCCTTCCCTACTCCTTGCTTGTGTTTTTGAATTAGCTCACAGATAAACTGGTTTTGCTTTGAATTCTTGCCTCAAGGTCTGTTTCTGGGGGGAGCCCAGCTTCCATCAGATAACACTGACCTTGTGTGGTTTGTGCATGCAAGATCACTCCCGTAATGTACTTCATACAGCGCCTGGCGGGTGGCCCAAGCTCAATAATAAACAGGCACTGTCTCCAATACTTTATAGGAATTACCTCATCCAATCCTCATGGCAACCTTACTAGAGAGATACTATATTTCTCCCTGTTTTAAAGTTGAACAGTTGAGGCCGAGAGAGGTTAAGTTACTTGCCCAAGGCCATGGCTAGTGGAGCTGAGGCACAGCCTGGATGGTCTGACTCCAGAGCTTACCCACTTACTCACAGAGTCCTCTTCATCTAGCCATGAATGAGGGCAGGAAGAGGGGATGCTTACAGGGATGGCCTGGGGCTTTGAGCTCGGAGGCCCCTCCTTGCAAAGCCCCAGTCCAGCTGATGTGCACGCAGCAGCTTTCTGCCCACACAGAGCCCCTCTGTCCGTCTTTGGAGGCTGTGGTGTGGAGCCTTTCCCCAGCTGCCAAGCCCTGCCATGGGGGTAGAAGGTTCAACAGCCAAAGCACACGCAGGTTGGGTGTGTGTGGTCAGACGCAACTCGGCTGGCCTCGTGCCACCTCTTCCTGGGTTTGCTGAACACCAGGCAAGTCAAACACCCCTGTCTGGAGGATGCCGCCTTCCTAGAAATCACAGGCAAGTTGGAGTGAAGCGGGGCTGTGGGCTTCCCAGCCCAGGAACCTGAGGTCCCTTCTGACCAGAAGCCAGGTACAAACTCCACATGCAGCCCACTCTGCACATGCTTGCTCGTCTGTTTTGTCTCATCCAATATAAACCCTTGTTATTCTGTGTTTATGTATCACAACATAACATTTGCCCAGACACAAAATACACAAACACATTCCTCGTATCCCACAAACCATACCCCGTGCTTTGCAAATCCCCCATAACACTCTGTATTAGTGATTGCTGAAATAATGCCATGTAACAAACCTCTCCAAAACTCAATGGCTTGAGACACCAGCTCTTGATTTCTTGCTCCAGGGTCTATGGGTCAGCTGGGCTCAGCTGAGCTTGGCCCAAAGCTGTGGGTTCAGGTCTGCTCGTCGTTTCTCATTCTGGAGCCCAGGCTGAAGAGGAAGCACCACCTGGGGCAATCCTTCTAATGGGGAGTGGAAGAAGCCCAAGGGCTCAGCCAAACTGCAGAAGCACATTTAAGGCCTCTGCTGATGTCACTTCTGCTAATATTCCCTTGGCAAGAGTTAAGTCAACGGCCAAGCCCAATGTCAGGGAAGGGAAGTACACTCTGTTCAGAGTAGAAGGGGGAGCAAATACAGACAATAGTCAGATCAGTCACACACGCCCCCAAAACACACACTGTACATGAACTTACACATGAACGTAGCCACATACATGCTATAGCCACATATGGACACACCATTCACATCAAACCACATACTCTCCATACGGTGCCCGGACACTGCTGTGGGCAACTGGGGCTCAATCCCGCTGAGACCTTTGGGAGAGTATGTAGAAAACGCCTCAAGTCGTCCCACCCAAGGGCCAAAGAAGCTGGGCCACTAACTCCTAGCCATCACTGGTTGAGACTGCTCCTGAGGGCATTGACTTCCTGGAACCTCTAGACTGGTCCATGCTCCTGCAGCCAGAAAGGGGCAAAGGCAGAGAGCTGCAGGCACTTGCGGTAGAAAGCCATCAGTATGCACAGGAGTAGTGAGTGCCAAGGAGCGGGGGTGGGTCCCCGTAGCACCTGCTGCCCCCAGTGAATGATAAGTCGAAACCACGTTTCAGCAGGCCGGCGTGCCCAGGATGGTGTTCTTGATTAATAAACTGGTTTCTCTAAGAAAGATAAAGGATTGATAGTGAGTGGGTGCCCTCCCACCCCACCCTGGGCTGTGTCATCGGGAGAAGTAAGACCAAGAGAGGGGGTCAGTGAGAAGCTGGTCGTACTCGCTGGACACAGTGGGTGGGAGAGTGTGTATGTGTGTTGCTGGGGGGAAGGGGCTCAAAGAGCTCTACTCGCCTTCCTGCCAGGGCTACTTGCTGCCAGAGTTGCATTCACTCTGGTGAGAGACACAAAGTCCTCCTCCTCTTGGGACAGTGAAGGCGGCACAGCCAACCGTGTTTGGGAGGAGCTATGACCATCACATCCGCCGTAGGCCAAATCCAACCCAAGGGCTGTAGTGCCTGGACCCAAGAGGGCCTTCTACCCAGAGGCCAGAGGGAGAGAAGGAAGTGCTGGGGGGTTGGGCACATGTGCATTTTTCCCTTTTAGACAGGCTTCTTTTCTCACGCCCTGCTTCGTCTTAGGGGGCATGTGCTTGGCTCGACTGGGTGAGAAGCTGTGGAGAACTCGGACAGCCTGTGAGGGAGTAATGTTCGCTCACGGAAGTCATCCTGCAGCTTCTGCTTATGAAGGGCCTTCATGTTCTGGAAAGTCCAGACCCCAGAAAACCTCGGCTCCCACCAACCTGGTCCAGGCCGCCATCTTTTCTTACCTGGACTTGTCTCCCCACCTCCGCTTATGTCCCCCTCCAATCCAGTCTCCTTACAGAAGCCGGAGTGATGTCTTGGTTTCGTTTCCCCCAGGCAGACCCTGAGACCAGGATTCCACTGTGGTGGTTCATCTGCAAGGGGACCCCAGGAAACACCTGTAGGGAAGAGGAAAGTGAGATGGAAGGAAGGCAGCCAACAAAGGGCGTCAACAAGCAGGTCACCACTGTGGGCGACTGGGGCTTAGTTCCACAGGAAAATTCTGAGAAATGGTATAAAATACACGTTCAGAGTTAGCCCACAAAGAGGTGAGGGATGCGAGGTATTTATAGCGAAATCTCCCCTTGGTCTTTGGTTGAGGGCTGTTCCTGGAGGTGTT